CAACAGAACCAAGAGGTCCTCCAGGAACCACGGTCCAACAGAACCAAAGAACTCCCGGGTCACAGTGGAGCCGGTTCGACCAACAACGCCACATTTCTGCACAAATGATACAAAGCACGAGTTTCTGAGTGTCAGCAGTCAGTCCAGGAACTGATCATAAATATCTACAACATGTACATCAATAAATAGATTCAATCTTCGTCAGTGCGGTGGACGTTGTTCCAGTTCTTCTCTGAAGGTTTCCTGTTCGAGTGTTTCTGATGCAGACGACTCCTTCTGGTCTAAAAATGCTTCAACGTCTGGGCGGGGTCGATGTGGGCCGGCGGGGCCTTGAACCCGGTCCGGGTGTGTCCGGTTAAAGCCGTGCTCGCCTCGCTGTACGTGGACGGAGGCGCAGCGGCTTTGTGCGGCCAGCAGGGGCAGCATCGAGCCACGAACCTCCTCCAGGACTCCACGGTCTTCCCGGACCAAATCCAGACTCCGGACGTGATGCCCACCACCAAGCACATGAAGTACTTCAGCATGAAGACGGCGTAGTCCGGGCCCGAGCGCTGGCGCTCCGCCAGGCAGGAGCAGGCCAAGGCTCGCTCCCAGCCGGGCCGGCGGTGCTGCTCGTAGACCAGGCAGGCCACCACGATGGTGGCGGGGACCGTGTAGAGCACCGTGAAGAGCCCGATGCGGATCATCAGCCTCTCCAACTTGTCCGTCTTGGTGCCGCCCTGCTTGATGATGCTCCGGATGCGGAACAAAGACACGAAGCCGGCGAGTAGGAAGAGCGAGCCGGTGAAGAGGTACACCACCAGGGGGGCCAGGACGAAGCCCCTCAGGTTCTCCAGGCTCTGGTTCCCCACGTAGCAGATGCCAGCCACAGGGTCCCCGTCCACAGAGCTGAGGGCCAGGACCACGATGGACTTGATGCTGGGGATGAGCCAGGCCGCCAGGTGGAAGTACTGCGAGTACCCGGCGATGGCCTCGCTGCCCCACTTCATGCCCGCGGCGAGGAACCAGGTGAGGGACAGCACCACCCACCAGATGGAGCTGGCCATGCCGAAGAAGTACACCAGCAGGAAGACCAGGGTGCAGAGGGCGGGGCCCGAGGCGTCGTAGAGCACGTGCAGCTGGTTGCCCCCGCACGCCACGCGCTCGTGACCCGCCACCAGGCGGACGATGTAGCCCACGGAGACGAAGAGGTAGCAGGCGGACAGGAAGATGATGGGCCGCTCCGGGTACTTGAAGCGCTCCATGTCGATGAGGAACGTGGCCACGGTGGTCAGCGTGGACACGAAGCACAGCACCGACCACAGCCCGATCCAGAACCCCGTGAAGGCTCGCTCGTCCGCCGAGAAGTACGGCAGGTGGCAGGGCTGGGCGCAGTTCTGCAGGGGCCCCGTCTGGACCCGGCCGTAGAGCGCGTGGGACTCCCGCTTGATGGGCACCAAGGGGTCCCGGCAGCGGCACTCCCTGTCGCACTGAGAGGGGCCGGGCGGTCTGGTCCTGACCTTGGGGGTGGACTTGGTGAACGGCGGCGTCGGGGTGGTGGTCTCGCTGCTGTTCTGGTCCATGCACAGGACCTCGTCGCCCAGCCGGGGCAGCTGCTCGCAGCTCATCCTCTCGGGCCACTCGAAGCCGTACTGGCTCATGAGGGGCGAGCAGCCCCGCTTGGCCCGCTCGCACACCGAGCGGCACGGAGGAAGGGGCTTCCGGTAGTCCGGCAGGCAGATGGGGGTGTACATGCTGCACAGGAAGAAGAGCAGGTCCGGGGAGCAGCGGATGCGGACCAGGGGCCAGAACTGGTGCACCTCCAGTCCCACCTCCTCCTGGGTGTCGTGGTTGAACTGGTTGGGCATGTAGGTCAGGTTGTAGCCGATGCCCTTGCACATGGGGACCGTTATGGGCTCGCAGACCAGGTTCTTGGAGGCTCCGAACGAGAGACCAGGACCCCAGAGGACCAGCAGCACTAGGCCGTACGACATGACCCCCCCTGCTGACGTCATACAGGGAATAAATCAGTTAATCCACTAATTTAGAGTCAGTTTCAACAAAAATAATGAGTTCATGACTGGAGGCACCTTCAAGGCTCCAACGAATCCAACTCTGGCAGCAAATCCAGTTTGTCCAGATCCCCGCGAGCTGTCAATCATTCACCTGGGCTGCCACGGTCATCACGGAGAAAGTTCATATCCGGCTGTCACGAGCCAGTACTTTAACGAGCGCGCTTCCTCCGGAGGAGCCGCATCCCGAGGCTGGAGAAACACGTCGGAGAGTTCAAGCTGAGCGGCGTGACCTCCACGAGGAGCCGTTCAGATAAAAACATTTACTTCTTCGCGTCCGGCTGAGTTCAAAAGTTGTAGAAGTTCCGCAGCTGCTGATCTGAACTGAAAACCAGAATCCTACGACTCGTCTCGGAGCGTCGCGCGCGGCAGCTGAGCTCACAGAGCTCGAGCGCGAAGTAAAGAGTTCTTCTGAAGCTGCCGCATCAAAGGCGGCTCTGATGCGTTCACTGCTGTCGGAAATATTACCACTCCGCCCCCTGAGCGTCCCGACTCCAACTAAAATGAAAAAGTGTCTGATATTTGAGTAAAAACATCTACAACATAAATAAATCATGTATTAATATAAAAAAAAATTAGATGCGACTAATTCTGTTAAAACAGATAAACGTTAAGTTATAATATGGAATAAAAAAATATCTTTACTGATAATAATCACTAATTGATTAAAAATAACCCTGTCATCAGCTCACAATGTTCGTTTTTAGTAACTTCATTAAATATTTTAGCATAAACAATGTTTTAAAAGTTTGAACTTTTCTAACACTTTCTGTTTTATACTTTCACATTTTTGTTTTGTTGTTAATACACATGTGAATATGTTATTAAACTTATTTATGTTATTTACTCAGCAGCTCGTTGAGGCAGCCTCCAGCTGCTCAGAGCTGAGGTTCTCTAACTTCCTACATTCATTGAACTCATCAGTGGGTTTCAGGACTTCCTGCTGGGGGGGGGGGGGGGGGGGGGGGGGGAGGTGGGTTCTGATGGATCAGGTCTCATGTCACCTCAGACCTCAGACCGCCCTGACACTCAAATCTCAAATAATTTGAATAATAAAAATAAATATTGATCACAAAGTTAATCATTTATTCTTACTTTCAGACTTAAAGGGTTTAAATTGGGCAGGTTTTAATTATGAGACAGTTTTTGACTAATTGGTTTTGATTCCAGTATTTTAATACATTTTTGCACGAGCTTAGTTAATTCTCTTTGTTTGAATTCAACTTTCCGATCAGGACAAACTTAAAGCGACACGAGAATATTATATTTACAGGCAAAAATGAAACAAAAACAATTTAAACAACTGATATTTGTGTCACTTCCTGTGTTTTTAATTGCAGTTATTAATCCTCACTTTACTTTTTATTTATCTCAACGTTAAGTCGGCTCGTTTGTGTTTTCATATCGTCATAAATTAACTTTGCATGCTTTGGTGTTTCTTCTTCTTGTAGTTTCTTTTTTGGTGGATCGAGACGGTTCTTCTCGTCCTCTGCATTTTATTACATTGTTGATTTTTGCATACGACAAATAAACCAAACCTAAACTTGAGTGTAAAAAAAGATTTAGAAGGTTAGAGGTCCAAATCCCAGCTGTTCAGGGTTTAAACTGCAAAATAAATCAGACTCTTCGCTTCTGCAGACGCAGGAAAAATGTGTTTTCCAGAAGCAGCAGAAATATTCTCGTGTTTTTTTTACAGTAGATGTTTTTCACTCCATCTTTAAATCTGAAGAACACAACGCTGCTCAGCGAGCGGAAAACTCGAAGTGTTATTCGACTCTGAAAACTTAACGTCTTCACGCAGTTCCTCACAGATCTGACATCAAACAGATGATTTACATGTTTGTCTAATCCTCAGGACTCTTCAGTTATAAATGTTCTTAGAGCTTGTTTGGGACGGACCAGAACTTAAAACTTTACTCAGCCTCACGGGACAAAGATCACAACACGCCCTGACGGGACAAAGGTCTTTAGAGGTGTGTGTGTGTGTGTGTGTGTGTGTGTGTTCTGTATCAGCCGGGTCAAGCCTTCCTGGCCCTGATTTACCTTCACCCAGGTTACTCTGATAGAGAAACGCAAACACTGAGGAGATTGGAGTCTGGAGGGGATCAATCTTTTGTTTACACACACACACACCAACACACACACACCAACACACACACGTACACACACCAACACACACACACACACACCAGTATAGGTGATGTTTCCAGGTGCCAGACTTGTTTGACAAAGATTTCTGGAGGAACACAACAAAGACAAAGATGTGACCTGCATCACCAGCCGGTCAGGTAAACACACACACACACACACACACACACACACACACACACAC